AATTAATATTGGCGTACAAGTGAGAGAATGTTGGAATTTGAACTAACGTTAATTGTTAATAGTCTGAAAGGATAGTGATGTGGCCCAAGTGGTGGATAAATAAAAGGCCTAATATTAAATATCATATGTGTAGATAAATGATGCATAATAACAATATTGACCTGTGATGGGTAGACACTCTTTATAAATAGAGGCCAACCCCCCTTTCCCCATCTATTAGAAAACCCTAGCGTATTCTGCCTCTTGAATACGTGGTAACGATAGACATCTCATCAGTCAAGTTCTCTGGACTGTGAGAGCACGTAGCTAGTGGATTGTGGAAGTTGGTCTCAGGCTTAATCGCCAGTTAATATCGTTGCTGAATCAATGGAGTTGAATGGTACACTTTCTTAAACTCTCTTCTTCTTCTTAGAATCTTTTTTTTTACTGATTATTTATGGATAGAATGAAAAAAAAAAAAAAAAAAAAAAAAAAAAAAAAAGAGAAAATTCATGGTTATCTGACGGGAAGAAAGAGTAGAATGAGATGGGTTTATTTTGCTTACCTCCATTATTGAAGTAGCCAAATCTGGAAGAAGAGGGAATCCACCAGCAGGTTATAGGGACTTATGTGGGTTGGGTTACTAGAAAATGGGTGGGTTTTAATTTTATTTATAAGAAATACTCGTGGCAAGCTTAAAAATGCCACATAGATATTTTGAAGTGCCAAAATTTACATTCATGTTCTGTTAGTTTTAAGGGCATATGTGAGCCAAAAATAAAACGTCAAGGATATTTTTAGACGAAAAGGTTAACGGGGGCATTTGTGAGCCATTTTCAATACGTTAGGGGTATTTTAGACCCTTTTCTGTATTTAGTATGATTACTATTTAACTTTAATATGATTGAGCTTAGCTTTACTGTAGTGCACTAGGATTTTGAATCTTAGATCAGAACAATATTTTTAAATTTACTTGAAAGAGGGAATTAATTAAGAAAAATTTCATAAATAGGATTAAAATGGGCTTGATAATCCACACGCCACCATAATGTTATTTCCTCTGTTCTTTATTTCTTAACGTAATCTATACTGACTAAAATGTTTCTTTCTGGGGTCAATCAGGATTCAGCATCAACATCCTCCATTGGATGTATTCTTTTTCTTTATTTTTGTGAATATATGTAAGCCTACGTTTGAATTTTTAAGATTTATATGTAAAAGTTTAAGCCTTATGTACTGATAGTAAAAGAATATTTACACAATGAAGTTGCCAGCATGGTAATTTAGCTTGCATTGTCTAGCTAATTCCTGCAATATGATATTCCTCGTGCTTATATCATGTACTAATAACGATTTTACTATAACTTATTAGCCTTTATCTTATGGAGAATTAAAAAAAAACATCTTACGCTTAAAGAGTAAGGGTCAATTAATTTTTTGGCTCTTTAAAAACTTGTTTAGTTATCACCCTACCTTTTTCTTTTTACACATAAAAGATTTACTTTTATACGTAAGAGATCTGTCTTTTACACATAACAACAACAACAACAACCCAATAAAATCCCACAAGTGGGGTCTGGGGAGGGCAGTGTGTACGCAGACCTTACCCCTACCCCGAAGGGGTAAAGAGGCTGTTTCCGAAAGACCCTCGGCTCAAGATAATAAAAAGACAAAAGGAGAGAATATTAGATTCACCATGGAGATCATAGAAAACATAGGAACATAAAATGCAGAAAAGTGCAAAGCAAAAACGATGGCTAGTAAATGGATCCTGCGTCGAAAAATAGAAAATAGTAAGACACGACATTGCCCCTAGCTATCTTAGACAAAACCCTACCGTACTAGGCTCACAAAGGTACAAAATAACGCAAGACTCAACTACCTCCTAGCCTACAACCGTAATGCTCGACCTCTATAATTTCCTATCAAGTGTCATGTCCTCGGAAATCTGAAGCCTCGTCATATCCTGCCTGATCACCTCTCCCCAATACTTCTTTGGCCGCCCTCTACCTCTTCTCGTGCCTTCCACAACCAGCCGCTCACACCTCCTTACTGGAGCATCTGGGCTTCTTCTCTGTACATGCTCGAACCATTTGAGCCTCGCTTCCCGCATCTTGTCATCAATGGGAGCCATATACATCTTTTCTCGAATATCATCATTCCTAATCTTTTCCATCTTATGTCTTTTACACATAAGAGATCTAAAAAGATTATTTTCTTGTAAAAGGGTATAATGTACAATAGCACATTGTAATTGCAGCACACGTGTCAAATCTGTGGCGGTGGGACCAGAGAAACCTGTTTTCATTCCTTTTGAATGCCAACTCAGACGTGGTTGAGATGTGTTAAACTATTACTACACCTAAAGTCAATTACAGTAGAATATTCTCCGTTTCTTTCCACCTTGAATACTAATTCAAATGATTAGTAGATACTTTATTCGTACCATATCTAATTATAACAGAAGTATTTAAGAAAACTTAATTTGAAATCTTGTTCATCACTGATTAGAGAACTCGTGTCATCTAAATACTCGAAAAATTTAATCCACCTTATAATAAAAAAAAGGGCCTAAATTTTTTTCTTTAGGTTTAACAAGGTAATAGGTATCCTCACTTGTTATAATCTTTAGTTAAATTACCTTCTTCTTTTTTGAATTTTTGAAACTATACAAAGCATAGGCGTGTTCATGGTTCGGTTTGGATCGGTTTTTTCCTAAAAAGAAACCAAACCAAGTAAGTCGATTTTTTAAATATTAGAACCAAACCAATTAAATCGATTTTTTCTCGATTCAGTTTATGTCGGTTTTTCGGTTTTTTCTGTTATTTGTCGTTTTTTTCTTAAATATAAGACATACACTACCAAACACACATTTCGGCGACNAACCAAAACCAAACCAAATTTGATCGATTTTTAAATTTCAAAACCAAAACCAAACCAAACCAAAAAAATATCGGTTTTTTTGGTCGGTTTGGTTCGGATTTTCTGATTTTTATGAACACCCTTAGCAAAGCAGAAACTATATGAATTACAGAAATACATGTACAATTTTTTAACCTGTTTTTTTCAATAGGTGTTTGATCTAATTATCATGTTTTTATCGTAATTTAATATCATAACTAGTATAATTATTTTTCTTTTGGTAAAAAAAGAATTTTATTACCAATTGAAATATGTATAGCACCCAAAAAAAATAAAAAATAAAAACACAAAGGAAAAACTTCTACTTGTATCTCTCAACCTTTTCCAGATTTTATTGATAAAACTAATTTAAAGCAAGTTCATGTTTGGAAATGTAGAACATTTTAGTTTGATGTTCTAGATGCAGAAATTCAAGGACTGAGTGAATAATAAACGATATTAAATTACATTTTCATTATGATGTAACTAGAAAGAAATGGGTTGAAGAAAAATACGTTGAGGGACAACAAATAAAATAAACAGAAGACCATACATAACACATAGACGATCAAGAGTAGACAAACTACACTGATATTTGGTAACAATTCAATTAATGACTTAATTCAAACCACTATTTACCATTCTTAGAGTGGGGGGTGGGGTGTAAATGCAGGATACGTATGGATTTGCAATTGCAACTATGATATGTATGTCTCTTTTTTACTTTCCGTTAATTTAAATGAGTCAAATGTCACCCTTAAAATTTTAAAGACTGCAAGTTGTTGCATACATAAAAACTATAATACATTATTCTCTCTCCAAGTTGTTCAATATATCCACACAATTTGATACGGTATCAAGCAGCGATATAATTGCACGTGCTAGGCTTACTAAAAAGATGTAGATTTGCATGTAAAAGGTATGGTTGCAGATTGAAATAATAAACTACAAGTGTTTCAACTTTCATGTTTAACAATTTAAGCTTTTAAAATGCCACGAAATCTACTAAACAACTATAATCACAAGTTCTTCCATTAATTTTGAAAGAATTTATTTTCCTGGTAGATTTAAAATGTGTGCCTTAGAGTTTAAATCTTTGTACGTTTAGTTATGAATTTATTATAATGCATTAGCTTTCTTCAATATATACCTAGTGAATTATGCGTACCTTCTGAGATTTTAAATTTGAAGAATTTTCTTATCTTTTATATGTAACATTAACAAAACAATAATTGATTTTTGGATAGGTTTTATCTATAACAGCCAAAAAATATCTAAACGTCAAATGTTGTTATACATGTATAACATCTATAACAGCCATTCGCTATAAAAGCCAAAAATATCGGAACAAACGAAACGGTTACAGAGAGGTTTGACTGTAGTTTACTTTTTCTAATTAGAATATAATACTTTTTCTAGTGTATATACATAGATTATACATGGTTATACACATAGTATTATACATAAATCATACATATACTATTTTTTTTTAATTTAAGCGATTGGGTGAACGACAATTTTAGTTAATTTTTTAAACTTATTTTAAATGGGTTCAATTGTAAAGATTTTTAAGCCCTAAACTCATTATAATTTCAAATTTATAATTTCAAAAGTTAATATTTTATTGAAAAATGAGTAATTTTTCACATATAATGTGTCAAAAATATTTGATTTAGTTAGAATCCATCGCAGCTAAACTAAATCCGCTAGTGATTGAGAATATGATTATCCTCCATGCTCCTCCAATAAAAAATCACTTCCTATTTAATAAATATCACCTATTCAAATTATTCTAGTTTTTGTTCCCTTATTTGAATCTAACTCAATATTAATTATGTGGTAACCTATTGAAATTAAAACAAATATAAAGGTTAATAATGATGGTAAATATCTCATTACAAATAGTACATATGGATGAAGAAAATAAATAAAGGAAAAAAGAAAAGAGGAAATGAAACACAACCAGACGCCGCGCCTGTTATACAAACGCGCTTCTGTTTTTTGCCATATATTGCATGCAGACTATACTACTTATACAGTCTTTCTCTTCCTCTCTAACTCTTCACTCTCTTCCCGTATTTATCTCTTTTTATCTCCATATTTATACACATTAATTTTCCTATATTACCCAAAATTACTTCCCCCGCTACACACACCCACCCCTCTCTTCCTTTTTTTCGTTTCATATATTAAATAAAATTTCGTATACCTTATAAAAAAAAATCCATACTTATAGGACCAAAGAAGCTAAAACCCTTTTTCTAAGTCCACTCACATTACTGCTCAAACGCCAAAACCAAATCTTTTCTTTTGGTTTCTTGTAACGGCGATGGACCAATGGGGAAGAAGAAGCCTTTATTTTCCGGCGTCTCAACCGCAGTCGGAAGAGACGCCGGAAAATAACGCCGACCACCCACCTTGTCTGAACGGCTACCCTGAGTTAACCCCCACAAACGTTCTTCCGCTTGCATCGGCCTTCGCCGGTATAAGTCTTACCGGCGATCAGACAAGAACGCCGTCGTTTGGTATCCCTCCGCCGGCAGGGAGTTCAATTGCTGATTTCTTGGACCCTACAGTTGATTACTTGATGGGCTTTAGTTCCAATGCTGAGTTGCAACAGGGTTTAATCCGGGCCCACCAGAATAATGGGGCCCACCAGAATCTTAATGTGGGCCCGGATATTCGGGCAGACATTCTCCGACGAATGCATCCATGGTACCCACAACTGTACAGTGATGAGTGCTGGAGATGGAACTATGACGTGGCAAACTACAATGGCTTGCATAGCAAGGAACCCATTCCACAGTTTCCAATTCTGCCATGTTTAAACCAGAATTCTAGTATTATCTCAAACGGTGTTTCTTATAACTATAACTGCACGGTTGTACCAAGTAATTTGAAGAATAATCAATCTGTTTTATTGGGTGATAATGATTTGAGAGGAAAAGTGGTTGCTTTAGCAAAAGATCAACAAGGGAGCAAAATACTACAGGCTAAGCTTGAGAAAGGAAATAAGGAAGAAATTGAAGTTGTACTTAGCGAGGTGATTGATTGTGTTACTGATCTGTTAAAGAATCAGTCTGGGAGTTACGTTATTCAGAAGCTTTTTGTTGTTTGTAATGAGGAACAGAGGACTACTATTATTCAGGCTATAACCAGAACTAACCTCCAATTTGTTAATATATGTTTCAGCCAACATGGGTACGTGTGATAATTTATGTTTAAATTAATTATCTTTTTTATTAGTATATCTAAGTTTTGTTACAATGGTGTTTAACAGGGCTCGAGCAATGCAGAAATTGTTGGAGAACCTTAGTACTCCGCAGCAAACGTCGTTGATAATATCAGCTTTAACTCCAGTTGCTGTTGCATTGGCCAATGATCAAAGTGGTCATCATGTGTTACAATATTGTGTCAAGACATTCTCTATTGAGTACACCAGGGTATAATACTATTACTAGTTCATGTTTTATCTGTGTTATATATTGGCAGGATTCATAATTCTGCTGCTTTCTACAAATGTATCATATATGTGCTGATTAATTGGATAAATATACTATTGGTATTGTCATTTTCTTCTTCTTTGTGCCCCACGTTTATTAAATTATTATTTAAATTGAGGCTGCATTCTATGTTGTATTTAATAAAGAAACAGTTAAAATATCATTTTTGTTCTCATTCTTTGGTACACAAGAGAATATACAGTAGCTTCTGGTGTCAGTTATTGTATGTGGAGTGGTATAAAATAATTGCTTTTTTCAACTAGTTACACTAACCTTGGTACTTCTTCTTAAAATCCAGAAGTTCATTGGTCTTTCTGTCATGTTTACCAATGAATGGACAAAGATTAAGGTTATAGTTATTCGCTTGGAATTAGCGAGACCAAGCATATGTGACTGGTATTCTGAGTTAGGATCAAAAAAGGGCAGCTTGGTGCTCAAAGCTCTATTGTGTAAAAATATATACTGTAGATCCTTCTCTTATCGAGATAATTTTACTTGGCCATATAGAAGAGTGTTTCAGTATCAATTTAGGGGTTATTCAATTTATGCCTACATGGAAATTTTAGCCTACGTAGACAGTGGTGGATTCGGGGTATGAAATCAGGGGTTCGTTTCTTTATATAAAAAATTTCCTTGAATATTAATAAGGAGAAAGTTGCAAACTTTAGTTCCAATAGCTATTGTGGTGGAAGATGCAACTAGGGTCATTGCTCAAGAATAATGAAGCCCTTTAATGCATTTTGATGAATGGTTCTTCTATTTATACTTGTTTACCTCTACTCGTTTGCTTGCCCCTAGAATCTTTCAGGAAGATATTAGTCTAACCTTAGAGGATCCCGTAAATATGCTTATCGAACTTCTTTTATATATATATTTCACAGTACTCTCTTATGCATACATGGGATGCAGTACCCTTAGTCGGTGCTGTTTGAAATTTATTTACTTTATTGTAAGGATACAGAATTTCAAGGATGGGGAAAACTGAATTTATAAAAGAAAGTCTGTTGGAATTCTTTTGGTGGATGCTTGAGAAGAATTTAGATATCTAAATGCAAATAAAGAATATGTACAGACGGAGCCATCACAACTCATAAGTGTGAGCATAGTTGGAGGATAACATAAGAGTTGCTCATAACCACGAGTTTACACGAGGGATATGCCCTGGTGCCTACTTGCTTACTTTTATGGATAAAAGTGAGATTCTGTGGTGCTTGCTATTATAGGTGATAATCGTTAATTAATGTAACTAGAGGAGTTAACCAAAACTGAAGATCACAAACACGTTTCTGGAGAGTAAGGGTTGTACGGTAAGCCAAAGTAAGATAAATGCACAAGAAGGTTTCCCCCGGTAAGATGAATTTGAAGGTAAAGTGAGAATAGACAAGATTATAGTGCCTAAATGAAGAAAATTTAGATACTTAGGCTCGGTCTTCTAGGAGAATGACATGATAGGTGAAGATTTAACACATAATATTAAAGTAGAAGGGCTGAAATAAAGGAGTACCACAGCAGTAGTATGCAATAAGAAAGTACCTGAGATTAACAATGTTATATGAGAGTGAATATTTAGCCCTTAAAGTTTAAAATATCCACAAGATGGATGTCATTGAAATACATATAGTAAGCTGAATTTATGATCACATAAGGTACTTGGCTGTTGTAATTTTGATGTACAAATTACATAACTATCTTAGTGTTGAGTTGATTCTCCATTGTTAAATTTACTTACTGATCTAGGAAATATGGATGCACAATGTTCATACCCATCAGAGCGTGCAAACAACACACGTAGAGGATAAAATCAATGAAGGTCATTTGATATGGTTTAGTTATCTTTTATGTAGACTTTCATATGCACTAAAGTTCCTTAGATGCAGCACTTGATAGTTGTAGGTGATAAAAAAGGGCGAGACAGATCAAATGTCACATATAAGTCAGTCAAAAGTTTACAATCTCCAGAAATCAATACGGATTTAGCTAAGAGCTGAATACATTGAAAGTAAAGAATACATAAAAGTGAGACCAAGAGTAGTTTAAGACTTAGTTGTACCGTTACACTTTAAGTTCATTGTTTATTAGGAATCTTCTTTTGATTAGAAAATTTGTATTTCGATGTCGAGATAAGTATGAAAGCTTTAGTTTTAGAGAACCTCTATTTTGCCTTGAAAGATAAATTACAATTTGGTAATGGAATGATACTCACCTGAATAGAGCTTAATGGATACAGAGAAGTCATGTAGCTGGCCCCTTCCAATTTGAGATTAGATGTCAGTTGATTGATTTTGTATTAACGGACCAGCTAACTTTTTTACTCTGTGTAGATGGTTAGATTCCAATTAAATTTCACATGAGACTTGTGGAAAAACTTTAAAGAAAGAAAATCGAAGTATACACACACACATTCATACATATATTTGTTTCAAAGAAGCAGTAGGCGCAATAGAATGTATATTCCTGCTGTTTCCAGTAATTGAAATTACACCAGGTTCTGTTATTCTTTTTCTACTAGCAGTCTCAGAATATTTCTGTCAGTAACCATTTCTGTAGAAATCTTTTCCGCTGTACTAACTCTAGAATGGCATGTCAAAAAACCCCTCCCTTAAAGCAAATGCCATCAAAAGAATTAACCTGTCTAAATTAAGTTTGATACACCATAGACATGTGATCTGCGATCACTCCTTTTCTTCATCCTCATGTTCCTTTTCTTTTTAAAGTTGTTCATCTGCAGATTGGGCACTTGCTCAGCCCAATTTCCATAGCTAAACTAGTATTCCGTTATCACTTGAGCTTGAAGCTGTCATTTAAGGCACTGAGCTACTTTCCAAGTCTCTCCACAAGTTCGCGTTGTGCACAAATTCCTCAAGACTAGCGGTTTTTCTTTTCTTGCTTGCCTATATTGTTTGAATGTAATATATATATATATATAGATGCTTTATTCATATTAGTGCAGAATAAATAGACCACTTGCTAACAAACTGCCTCATGCCCCTCTTCTTTGTATAAACTGCTAGGTGCTTTCCCGTGTTTCCTGCCTCTTCCGTTAGCTAGATGAGTGCTCCTGTTTAACTTAGGTTTCTGGCTTAACCGACTTTCTCACAATTGAACTGCATGTTGCAGCATCTTCTCAGTGAAATTGCAAATAACTGCTTTACAATTGCAACCCAAAAAAGTGGGTGCTGTGTGCTGCAGTCATGTGTAGAATTCTCTCATGGAGAACTCAGAGATCGCCTTATAACTGAGATCTTAACAAATGCAGTGCACCTATCAGAAGATCAATACGGGTATTACCCATTTTCTCTTTTGCTGGTTCTTATGTAATGTGTAGTGTCAAGTTGCTATATAGGTCTCATTGCTTTTATGTTCCATTTCATTTAGCAACTATGTGGTGCAACATCTTGTGGGACTGAAGTTACCAAGAGTTACAGAAACTTTATTGGAAAGGCTTCAAGGAAGCTTTGTGACTCTCTCATGCAATAAGTATGCGAGTAATGTTGTTGAGAAAATTATCCTCGAGTCAGGAGAAGTGCACTCCACTAAAATTATCGCCGAGTTGCTCAGAAGCCCAAGTGCTTCAATGCTCCTAGTGGACCCTTATGGTAACTTTGTCATCCAGACAGCATTGCAAGTTTCAAAGGTAAGTTTACTTCACTAAATTCTTTGAACCATGACCCTGCTTATCATATATGAAACAAAATGAGCCACCAACCTTCTAGCCGTTAGTGGTACTCTTTTCCTCAGCAATGCTTACATGTTGTAATTTGTAAACATTTTCACATATTAGGCTTGATTATTATGAGCTATTTAGACTTGTAAGATTGTAGAAGATATTCTGAAGGACAACTGCAACTGGAGCTTTAGTTAATTCAATTTGCATTAATGACACGTTTAGTATTTAGATTGAAGATGCATGTCGAAAAGTTGTGCCAAGCTATGATGTTTAAATTCCTCTCCCTAGTATATTTCTTAGTAGCCCATGACTTATATTTTTTTTAAAAATGGATGGCATGATCAAGAGTTGTCCTTCTATCAGGTTTTTTTTTTTTCTTACTGTTATGATTTTCGTGTTTAGTTTTAGCTAACATATATGTAGAATATGTTCTACTGCCTAGAATTTCTCCCTGCAGTATAAGGGAAGTAGGAGAACCTTTACAAATGTATGCTACTAATTAAAAAGAGTGGTTACTAAAGTAAAGAGCTCCGGAAACCGACCTATGATAGTAGGTAATGGATGTGGCGACCCTTCCTATGTGCTTCGGTGATCAGCTTTGGCACCATAATTGGATCTCATGAAAGCATATACTCTTAGGTTGTTCTTTCTTTTTCTTCCCCAGAACCTTTTTTATAATAAGTGAACATGGTAATCAAATCATGTGATGTTAATATAGGATCTTTATTTTAGACCTTATGTGACTTGCATATTCTGTAGAGATGAAGTTTCAATTTATCTTCTTGTCAACCTTTCTCAGTGCCCTACTCTTGTGACGTGCAGAAGCTACAAAAACAATCGATTGGTGCAAACTTCTTTCTATGCATATATTTTTATCAACCCGTACGTATAAATAATGCATTATTGGAGCTAAAGATATGGTTACAGAGGAAAGCCTTGCTTAATGTTTGTCTAGGATCCAGCCTTAGTTTAAAATAAGGTCGGAGACAGGCTTCTGATGAGTAGTACATGTGGCCGAGACAGGCAAGAATAGCGATATTGATCTACTTTCCACTGCAAAACATCAACCCTATTTTGACTCGTTATAATATGCCCCCATATTTGACTCCTTTCTGTCCATGATAATTTCACATCTACAAATTCAAACTACTAAATGACAGTAAGCTCCTGTAGCGTTTCAAACTACTGAAAAACAATATGCACTTGGTATTATTTCCTCTTGAAATATTTTGATATTGAAGTCCAGTATCATAACCTACCTTAGATTTCCTTTCTGCTTAAACCTCAGTATCACTCAAACAATGTTGATATCGATTCTAAGTTGTTTTGTTCAAAATCCATATAACAAGTTAATAAGTCATGCATTTGTTTTTTTGACTGAGCAGGGCCACATCTTCAATGCTCTCTGTAAACTAATCTACATGAATTCTGCATCAATGCAAAGTAACATTTATGGGAAGAAGATCCTTGATCGGTTGTGTAGCAAGAAGGAACCTCTACATTGTACAAGATTGTACAAGCGACAGGTATAGTTAACTCGGGAGTAGTTGACAATGTGCCTGACATTTTTCTGATGGAATTTTCGGGTTTAGAAGCATCTAGTATCGTGGTTCTATCGTATGTTGTTTGTTTTCTATGTACGTTAGAGATCTGAACTTGTAGGATCATAAAGCTGAGTATGCATGCGAGCCTCTTCTTAACGTACTGTATATTTTTGGTTCTATCCATGTTGGTTGTTATATAATATATATATAGGGCTTGTAAGCATTCTTGAATAAGTACCTTACAATATTCATTCTTTGCTGAATGTAATTGCAGTTAGAAATATTTCTTTGACAGCTCTCATCTTTTACATGGCCAACTATTTGGGTAAACTACCTTGATACATTCTATTTCTGCTAGTTGAGATCTCAACTCAGCACCCTCATCTTAATTTTTTCATAAGTTTTAGGTGCTTTTACTATTTTTAAAACCCTTTTAGAGACCAAGACGAGGGGTCATCTTCTGCAGCCCTTGGGCTCAAGAATCTGTCCCCCACACTATCATTCTGATTTCTTTTAACTTCCATGTGATTTTACTTGGTTTGATAGAGTTGCAATGTGATCTCAGAGCTTCAAACTACTTAACTATGTCTGTGATGAATGATATTTGACTAGTGCCTCGTGCTATTGGTGCTCTATTCAACCTCCTACACTACAACTTCAGGTGACTACTTGTTAGATCAGCGTGATTATATTATTTGAAGAAATATATACTTATATTAACCTCGCATCTGCTGTCACAAATAAAAAAAAGGTGGTGATTGCAGCAGTGTCATGAATCTTTTTAGACTAAGATAGTGATCGCATCTGTTTAGGGTAGTTTTTAGATGAAATATTTTCGTCCACTCACAAAATGTCAACTTTCTTTTTCAAATAAAATTCAATTCAATTCAACTTATTTTCAACACGCCTATTTTTTTCTTTTTTCAAGTTCTAACCTGGCATGCATCTCACCTCGATTGCGTGTAAGTAAAGGAGAATCCACTCCTGAAGTCACATCTTTCTGTATTAGGATTGAAGTAAAATAGAGGCCCCATATTTGAACAAATCAGTCCTTGGTTTTAACGAGTCTTAGAACCATCTGCTATGTTTTATGGTGGTTCAGATTCAGAGTAGTCTGCTCATTTTCTAACAGGCACATGGCACATTGATTACACAATACGGTAGCATGTGACGTACTAGTTCGTCTAGTACTGCGACAGTCGCAACTGGATGAAAACTTATCACATTGAATATTTATACAAAAAAGAGATTTTTCAATAGAAATATTTTTTATTGCTTTTGGCTTGTTCATTTTTTTACTTTGCCAAATACCTAAGAAAAAAAACTAAAAAGATAAAATCTGATTTGATCAGATTAAAAGCCAATCCAAACACTCTCTGAATCAATACATGCATGCCTACGATGACATATTGTAGGCAGTGAACACTTCCTTTCTTTTTTGACCTTTAACATCTATTTTTAAAGTGAATCCGACTAATTCGGATTCTATGTTACACTAAAAGGACAAAATCATTCTCTTCCAAGGTCAGTGATCCGAAGAGATGAAAAAAATAGTTGCTCTAAGCTAGCAAACTGCAATTTTTTATAAAATTCAAAACCCAGTACATTTAAAATGACCAACTTATTGATGGAACAGAGCAGCAAAATACATAAGAGAGTTCAAAAGAGCCCCCATTTATTGGTAATAACACATCCATTCTAATCTTCGCACAATATATGACTAACATACCTAGAAAACTGATATTTAAAGAGGAATGGACCACTTGCAGAGTGCAAAACATGTGATTTCTGCATCTCTGTATTTATATATTTTAGACTTGGTAAAAAGAGCAGTGAAATTCAAGGGCATTTAGGCTTGCCCTTATTGCTTTTCTTGTCCCTGTAACAAGGACACTCGTGTTTGTTACCATACGTTCCAGAAGGCACACACTTGCATTCTTCGCAACAAATTCCACAATACTTCAAACATCTGTCCATAACTCCTGCCTTTGCACACCTCAACTTGCACTTTGAATCACAATAACCTTACCAAAAAATAAAAAACACACAACCCAACTCATCATTAGACCAACAAACAACGACAATAACAAACCTAGTATAGTCCTATAACGGTATAAGTAGGATCTGGAGAAGGTAGCGTGTACGCAGAGGTGGAGGTAGTGTAGATTTTGCGGGTTCGGCCGAACCCAATAACTTTGGTCCAAATTATGTATTTGTCTTAAAATTTTATTAAATTTGTATAAATTATTAATTTAGAACTCAATAACATAAACGAAGTAGAATCCCGAACCCACAAGCTTTAAATCTTAGCTCTGTCTGTGTGTAAGTAGACCTTACCCCTACCTTGAAAATAGAGCGGTTGTTTCCGATCAAACTCATCATTAGACCAGTAAAACATAACCAAAAAGAAAGAAAGAAAAAAGAGAGGCTGAAACTTTAAGAAATAGTTTACTTACTTGAACCAGCCATAGTGGTTTGAATAAAAGAAGGGGTAAGAACAAGAGTGAGCAAAAGCAGAGTTGTAAGAAGTAGCTTCATCTTACAAGAGTAATGTAATGTTTAATATGCTAAGAGAGGAGTAGAGAATTGATGAAGTGAAGCATTGGAGGATAGTTCTAAAGGGGGATATATAGCCAGGAGAGAAGTTGGTAGTCCACTAAATATGTGTTTTCTACCTAATTTAAGGAAACAGTGGGGAGTTCACATGAATAAAACTCATAATTTATGTCAATCAAATAAATATACGTTAAAAAATGTATTATTAGACAATCCAAGCAAATACTGCGAGTTCAAACAAAAATGATTTATTCAGATTTAAATAAATATTGATGAATTAACCCAAATAGCCGTTCATCTAAACGCTTAAACTAAAAATAGTCGGTGGAAATATAATATATAGATAATTCATATATTATATATGTATAATCGTGTATAATTAATATAATATAATATAATATATATATATATATATAATTAAAAAAAAAGTAAACAATAAATATGACATATTATTTGTGTAAAAATCCCAATATTCGTATGTTATGTGTTTATCGGAATGTTATAAACAAGAGGTGAGTCAACCCGGAGGGTGTACTCTAATTAACTTACCAATAAAAATGTAAAAATTGCACGATGCGTCCTATTTGGTCGCTCTCATTTAACTTATACCTATTTTTTTTAAAAAACTTTAACTTGTATCCACTTTTTAAACAACTTCAGGCCTCTTTCTCCTCCCCCTCCTTTTCCTCATTCGTTTTCTGATTTCAGGTGTAGAGAGGGTTGTGCCTTAGGTTTCGCTTCATACTCTCTTCATCATGGTTATTATGACGAATTTGTGTCCGACGTATCCCGCCGGTTATTCCCCAACATTTCTATCCCTGAAATCCTTAGCTACAACCCTAGTTTCAGAATCCCACTTACTCAGGCTGAAGCCAACATTAAAATTAAGATTAAAATTACCCTTCCTTTGTGACTGCCTTAATAATGGCGTACTTTTATGAAGTTTCTTCCATGCTGAATTCAACTACGAATTAACAATAATCTACATAAGCACTAATTTGTGTCAAAAATACATACTATGCTCTTCTCGGGAGGTGTAGATAGAAAAGTGTGTTGAAAATGTCAAAAGTCTCACATCGGTGGGGTGACATATTTGGTTAGGATTTTTTTCTTATAAAAGGAGGCCTAATATTTAGGATTTTAACACACCTCTCATTTGCCTTCTTATCTTCTTAAGACATTTGTATCTTCTCTCTTTAGTATTATTTCACTTGTATTTTTGGAGTGGAATAAAATATTGGATGTGTCCGAGGAAGTAGGCAAAATTGGCTAAACCTCGTAAATTCTGGTGCTCTTTTTATTGTTGTATTATTGTCTTATTTATTATTTAGTGGCTGCCATAATTTTTGGTATAGTAGTTGTGACTCATTCACACTATATACATTTGGCTTCCACAACAATTGGTATCAGAGCCAAGGTACTGTCTAGGTATGCTCAGTGGTTGCAGCATAGTCTGATCTTCCACATCAGAAAAGATTTATCTTGGTAACTGAGTCAAGGTTCTGTCTGAGTATGCTCTGTGGTTGCAGCTTAGTCTGATCTTCCACACCAGAAAGAAAATAATCTTGATTTGTGTCATCAGCTATTAAATAATATTTGTGTCAAAGATGGGAGACAATAAACAAGAAGAATCTACATCAAATGTCAACAATACGTCATCATTGGCATCTACGCTTATGACAAGAATTGTGTCAAATGCGAAATTTGCGGTAAATATTTTTGACGGGTCAGGACATTTTGGGATGTGGCAAGGTGAGGTTCTATATGTCCTTTTTCAACAAGGGCTAGATCTTGCTATTGAAGAAAAGAGACTAGATGTATTGGAGAAGAAGATTGGAGAATTATCAACCGTGTTACTTATGGTACCATTCGATCCTATCTTGCTAGAGAGCAGAAATATCCATACACAAAGAAAACTTCTGTAAGTAAATTATGGAAAG